ATTACCTCCTTCATAAAAATTAAGAAACTTATTAGGAACCTACTAAGCCTAAATTGCCAATACGTACCCCAAAATAAAAGAACCAGTCTTTGCCAGAATTCAAGTAAAGTGGGTTCTTAATTTTAGCAGGTAGGGAGGTAGGTGTTACTGTAATTGCTTATTTTTGTCGATAATTGATAATAATAATTCTTTTAACAGGGCCTTTGAATAGTTTATCCTACTTTGATTTATAATACTCAGAATATTGGGTAGAGGTCATGAATATAAGGTTTGAAGCTGCCGGGAGCAGTTTCCTCCTATGATCTTTTTATGAGAAGCTTATTCCCTGTAATTCATTACAAATGGGTACCAATCAATATAGCCGATTACTTTAGCAGAGGATGAGCGTCCCGAATGTAATTGGGCCCACTTCCTCTGCTCCTTCTTAGTTGCACTCCTTGATCCTCTGCATTACTGAGACGAAAGTCTCTCAAGGAGGTGTAAATTTGGCTAGGAATGACGGCATAACTGATGTAGAAATGAATAAATTCTTTCCTTTTAGAGCGTATTTCCTTGCACATGGAGGACTTCTTGCATTTGGCCTCTCGCATCGTGTACTGAGTAATTTCGATCTAAGACAATTGTGACGTCATTGTCAAGTGAAACTCATTCCGATCGCAAAACTAGAAATCATGATATCATGTGTCACTTTAATTTTTGTTTTTACCACATTTTGACGTCATCTGTGATCTATTTTGAACAGACGCACGACAAAATGGAATCCGTATTTGTTAAATCGACCATAGAAATGAAGTCAAAATGTTCAAAAGTTAAGGCAGAACCACGAGTCGCAGGAAAGTCGGGTTTCACTGCAAAGATCTGAACATTTTGACGTCATTTCTATGACTGACAAGAGTATAGACCATGGAAAATAGTTGTCGACTTGCTTTTTACAATAACATAGACAGTTTTTGACGTCAATTTTCGTTGAAGTTTCTCGGAAAATCGTGCGCGCAAGAAAGTGAAAAACAAAATGCGCCACCATCACATCTTTTCATCGTTTGTATCGACTATAGCTCTCGACCAATCAGCGCGCAAGAAATCGCTCAGTTATTGTAAAAAAACTCAACAGTATACGTTGAGAATTACGTTGAGCCGTTTACCATTTGTTAACCAACACACACTGAGCCATTTACTGTTTAAGTTTTACATGTTGGAAGCGCAGCGCTTCCGGGCTGCTTTTCGGCAAAGTTTTATCCATCGAAAGGGTCATTATGATCTGGAGAATTAAAGAAATGTTACCCTCGGAGGATAACACCCTCCTAGATATACATAATTCTTCAGATAATACTCAGCCTCATGCAATAGAGTAATTGCTAAGTATTCTCAGTCATTTTAACGCTGTCCCTCTTTAAAGGTACGTAACAAAGAGCTGCATTTTTGTCAACGTTTCCTAAATTTTTCCAGTCGCCCAGATTTACCGGACACACCTTACCCCCTGCTACATATAGTTTACCATTCACTACAAAAAGACTGGACCCAAAATGAGGATGGCAGGTTAATGCTTTTTCTTCCCACATATTCTTTGCCGGGTCAAAACAATGCAGCATTGCATTCTGCACATCCCACTCACGACGGGAATTATAAAATCCTTTCCCATAAAGCACAAACACCTTGGAATGGAGTACAGCTGTCCCACTATTATAACAAGTAACTCCCCTAATTGGCACAGTTACTTTTGCAATACTTTGCCACTGTCGTTCAGAAAAGCTATACCTCTGAGGAATCTTAGTGCAATTAGAATTAAAGGCATACATGTAGTCTCCTACAGTACACAGGTGGCTTAATTCTCCATTAGACTGTGAGTGTTTTTCCCATATGTTTTTCTCTAAATCATAGCAATAAATGTGGCCATTACACTTATCCTCAATGAATATAGCAACAAAAATTTTGCTGCCAACGGTCTCTGCACAAGAGACGGATGCTATATCAGCTGCTGGCGCTAAGGAGGTCAATGGTTTCCATGATTTGGAATTAAAATCAAAATACTGCATGTGAGTCCCGGGGAGCACGGCAACAAAGGCCTGCAATTAAAAACAGTGCAAACTTGGTACAGTTTTGTTTAAGAGTGAAGTGGACGAATAGCAATAACAGCGAAACTAAAACAAAGCATTAAAGGTTTAAGCAAGGAAAACTTAAAATATTAATAAATCTCGTGCTTCAACCAGCCTGTAAAGCCGAGGGTTCGTGAATGCCTACATATGTATTATTGATGTCGCGTGCAATAATGCAAATTATTATTTACCAAATCAGTGAACAGCAATCTTCGCGCGTTTTGATTGGCTCAGGTAACTTGGAATATCCTTGGCTATTCACTGTTTTGCGACCGGAGTCAAGATGGCGTCTCGTTTCGAGACATTTTCGAAAGACGAAATTTGAGCGATAAATGAAGCAGTCATACAGACAAATACCAAAAAAGCGACGAACTTTGGCTTGTCAGTGCTTACTGGTAGGCAGAACATGATTTTCATGCTGAATTTGCACCGAAATCGCAACAATGCACTTGACAAAATCCCCCAAACGTTAGAGAATTGTAAACAAAGTTCCTACTAAGTGGCGCTTTTAATTTACAAAAAGTTACTTTTTTCATTTTTATCCAACTAATTTGGTAAATACTAAAACGACTTTCCCCCTCAGGGTCGGTGAATAGCGCTAGGTATTCACCTCCCCTTCAGGGGGATTGTTGTATAATATTGAGAAGCATTCGCGCTATTGAACTGAAAATTGAACTTCCTCGATTAAAATTTACCTATTCTCATTAGTAGGACACAAATCAGCAAATACATGTATAAATTCTTACTGAGCCCGATGAACGCATTCTTCCTTTTTCTTCGCCAAATGCAGAACTTGACGGAATGTAGCTGTACAAGAGTGATTCGTGAAGAAGCGTGTGAATCTCTCGTACTTGCTTCATTTCTTCTGAATTTAGCTCTTTGATCACCTCCCTGATGTTCACCAGTCCCAGGCGAACCGAACCTATAACTTTAGCAGCGACTGCCATTCTCTCTTCTTTCTTGTACTTGACCCACTGCATCACAGATTTGAATACGAATGTCTCTGAAGGAGCACTGAGGTCATCTCGACTAAGAAGATTCGAGAACTGATCGGCGTCAATATGAGACAAGAATTCTTCACTTTCACAAACTTCCTTGTACATTGACGCCATTTTGCTTTGTGCAGCTTCTTGTAGGGCTATCAGTCCGTGCCGATTTGCAATGGTGCAGATCTGACAATATGTCTGCACATCAAATCGAAGCTGAACAAACTGGGTTTGCAGGTAATCACAACACTGTTGAACAACACTTGTAACTTGGAGGTGATCGGCAGCGACAAGAACTTCAAATACGTTTTCATCGTTGACTTGAAGATCTTCACCGTAGATGGAATCCAGGACGATCTTCAAAGAAGCTGCTGAAATGCTTTCATCTTTGAGCTCGATCACTTCCTGGTTCGACTCCTTCATTCCGTGAGCAAACATGGCGTGAAAAAAAATCGCTACTGGCAGCGAGCACAATGCGATGAGCTGAGAAAACTTCTTTGCTCGCTTTTAAATGAACATCAATGAATTCACCTTGTTCTCGAAACTGAGCACATCTGGTCAGAAGAATTTCGGAATGAGCAACCATTCTTGGGCTTCTTGGATCGGTATATCTTGCCGGAAAGGAAAAGTCACAGCATGAGATTTTTCGCGTGACTCACGTCTGGATCACGTGACCAAGACATGTCTGGAAGAATCTTCGTTTGTCACGTGAAGTATCTCAAAGTCACGACATACAATAAAGTCTTTTGCCACTTTCATACCCAAAAATGAGAACCTGCTTAGCCAAGCAAGATCATGCGGGTTTTGGGGTTTTTATGATAAAATTTAATATATAATCAGTTTTGTTAGGGTTATATAAATAATAAAATTGTGAAGAAATAAAGAGCAACGCTTATTAAAACATGACGTTTCGGCGACGACATGTCAACATTGTAAAACGCAAATGAATAATTTGCATTTACATTTGCATTTGATAATGGTGACATGTCGTCGCCGAAACGTCATGTTTTAATAGCGTTGCTTTTTATCCTTTTGTGTTTAAGAAAATCTGTCGTTATCAATAAATAAAAAGTTTATTTTTCTGGTAATCACCAATCTATTACCTCCTTCATAAAAATTAAGAAACTTATTAGGAACCTACTAAGCCTAAATTGCCAATACGTACCCCAAAATAAAAGAACCAGTCTTTGCCAGAATTCAAGTAAAGTGGGTTCTTAATTTTAGCAGGTAGGGAGGTAGGTGTTACTGTAATTGCTTATTTTTGTCGATAATTGATAATAATAATTCTTTTAACAGGGCCTTTGAATAGTTTATCCTACTTTGATTTATAATACTCAGAATATTGGGTAGAGGTCATGAATATAAGGTTTGAAGCTGCCGGGAGCAGTTTCCTCCTATGATCTTTTTATGAGAAGCTTATTCCCTGTAATTCATTACAAATGGGTACCAATCAATATAGCCGATTACTTTAGCAGAGGATGAGCGTCCCGAATGTAATTGGGCCCACTTCCTCTGCTCCTTCTTAGTTGCACTCCTTGATCCTCTGCATTACTGAGACGAAAGTCTCTCAAGGAGGTGTAAATTTGGCTAGGAATGACGGCATAACTGATGTAGAAATGAATAAATTCTTTCCTTTTAGAGCGTATTTCCTTGCACATGGAGGACTTCTTGCATTTGGCCTCTCGCATCGTGTACTGAGTAATTTCGATCTAAGACAATTGTGACGTCATTGTCAAGTGAAACTCATTCCGATCGCAAAACTAGAAATCATGATATCATGTGTCACTTTAATTTTTGTTTTTACCACATTTTGACGTCATCTGTGATCTATTTTGAACAGACGCACGACAAAATGGAATCCGTATTTGTTAAATCGACCATAGAAATGAAGTCAAAATGTTCAAAAGTTAAGGCAGAACCACGAGTCGCAGGAAAGTCGGGTTTCACTGCAAAGATCTGAACATTTTGACGTCATTTCTATGACTGACAAGAGTATAGACCATGGAAAATAGTTGTCGACTTGCTTTTTACAATAACATAGACAGTTTTTGACGTCAATTTTCGTTGAAGTTTCTCGGAAAATCGTGCGCGCAAGAAAGTGAAAAACAAAATGCGCCACCATCACATCTTTTCATCGTTTGTATCGACTATAGCTCTCGACCAATCAGCGCGCAAGAAATCGCTCAGTTATTGTAAAAAAACTCAACAGTATACGTTGAGAATTACGTTGAGCCGTTTACCATTTGTTAACCAACACACACTGAGCCATTTACTGTTTAAGTTTTACATGTTGGAAGCGCAGCGCTTCCGGGCTGCTTTTCGGCAAAGTTTTATCCATCGAAAGGGTCATTATGATCTGGAGAATTAAAGAAATGTTACCCTCGGAGGATAACACCCTCCTAGATATACATAATTCTTCAGATAATACTCAGCCTCATGCAATAGAGTAATTGCTAAGTATTCTCAGTCATTTTAACGCTGTCCCTCTTTAAAGGTACGTAACAAAGAGCTGCATTTTTGTCAACGTTTCCTAAATTTTTCCAGTCGCCCAGATTTACCGGACACACCTTTCCTGGTGGGATCCTAATGCCACTGTCAATTGGAAATTTATTGATGATGAAATAAACCTTCCCCTCTATTTCCACTGCACCAAGGTTATTTTGAGGAATACGGTTTTGTTCAACAACGGACCATTTATTGTTTTCTTCATCATAAACCTCTACAGTTGCTTGCTCACCACATATCGTGTTATCCAAACGAGTAGCAGCAAGACCCCCTGCTACACAGAGTCTATCATTCACCACAAAGAGACTGGACCCAAAGTGAGGGTTGCAGGTTGAAGACTTTTCTTGCCACATATCGCTCACCGGATCAAAACAATGAAGCGTTGCATTTTGCATCTGCCAAAGGGCCCCGTTGATCTGTCTATGCCCATAAAGTGCATACAGCTTTTGGTGATGTATCGTGGCACTGTTAAAATAAGGGTAGTGGGGAGGACTCTTTGTGAAACTTTTAGAGAAACTTTGCCACCGGTGTTTTGCAAAACTATACTTTTGCGGTAGCTTGCTGCAATCCCAAGACAGTGCATACATGTAGTCGCTTACAACGCATAGTGTGCTGATTTCTGGGTATGGAGGAATACCCTCGTGAGTGTGCCACTTATTTGTTTCTATGTCATAACAGTGAACACAGGATCTCCCATCCGGGAATTTTCCAGAAACGAACAACTCACGGCCGACAATCTCTGCACAGTAGCAATTTTTTGTTTCAGGTGCTGGTGCTAAAGATGAAAGCTGCTTCCAAACCTTTTTTTTAACATCAAAGTACAACATATGGGTCTGAGGAAGAACAGCAACAATGACCTAGAATAACAAGAAAAAAAGACAATTTCTGTTAGTCAACGAGGAAATAACAGTATACACAAATCATTTTTGTCTTGCTGTATTTACCTTTTTGGTACTTAATTTAGCGGGCGTTAAATTTCGCGTTTTTTGCGATTGTATAAAATCGCGAAATCAAAGACTCGCGAAATTTAAGACCCATATCAACTGAAAAAATTTAAATCACAATGAACATGTAATTAAAGGAACAAAATATACAGGATATGTTTAGACAAACACAAACTGCTACTCATTTTTGTGTCTTAAATTTTAAAATAACATTAGGTTGCAAAGATTTCACATTTTGCTTGTTCCAGTTCATTCAAAAATTTGTAAAGGTTGAGACTTTTTCATCGCTTTAAAAATCGCGAAATTCAATGCCCTCTCTTCATATTTGCTCGCCAAATCGCAAAAATAAAACCCCGCGAAATAAAGTACTAATAACTAAGGTAGTAAATGCATTTCTCTTTTAACAATATCCTTTTATCGCTTATTAAGATCGCCTTCAGGAATGGGAGATGTACTCCTTTTCCATGGAAAAGACAGCTTATCACCAGAAAAGCCGTTGTAGACTAGCTGGTACAATGATAGGCTCGATTATCAGCCGCTGTTCGAGAAAATGAGCCCGCACGGACCCTGGAGACGGCAGAAATGAAGCCTAGTACAATGATTAACCCAACCGCTTATCGCTGCCGATCATAGTTCAATCCTGCCGAAATTTACTGAGTAAGCAGTACCATTTCCGGTGTGTCTTTTAAATATTGTGTCTTTTCATAACAAGATGAACCTATATTTCGGCTGCATTCAACAGCCTTCATCAGGGTTGTAAAAATGGTTACAAATCCGCGTAATTCTACTTTAAAGATACACAACACGTGAGCACTCGTAACCAACGGACTATAATATATGCGCGCGCGTTAACAATTAACAATTACCAGGTACTTCTACGGTTTTATCTACGTCTTGCCCGCTTATATATGTACATACATATAAAAAACACACTCAAGCTTACGGGATCCGTTGAACGTAGTTTTGCTTTCTCTACGGCAAACCTGGAACTGTTTGAAGGTCTGATGTTACGTAACAGCGATTCATGGAGAAGCATATGAATTTCTGACACTCGTTGCATCTCTTCTGTGTCGAGTTCTTCAGTCAAGTCATTGATATCCACCAACCCTAGACGAACCGCTCCGATAACTTTGGCTGCGATTGGCATCCTCTCTTCCTTCTTGTGTGTAATCCACTGCATCACAGATTTGAAGACGAATGTCTCTGAAGGAGCGCTGAGGTCATCTCTACTGAGAAGGCGAGTGTACTGATCAGCATCCACATGGGACAAGAATTCTTCACTTTCACAGATTTCTTTGTAAATGTAGGCCATCTTAGTCTGCGTGGCTTCTTGAAGGTCTTTTAGACCATGTCGATCAGCAACCATGGAGAGGCGACAATACGTCTGCACATCAAATCGAAGCTGATCAACAAACTGGGTCTGCAAGTAATCAGAACACTGTCGAACAACACTTGTAACTTGGAGGTGATCGGCTGCGACAAGAACTTCAAAAACGTTTTCATCGTCGACTTGAAGATTTCCGCTGTAGATGGAATCCAGCACGACCTTCAAGGCAGCTGCTGAAATGCCTTCGTCTTTGAGCTCGATCACTTCCTGGTTCGACTCTTTCATTCCACGAGCAAACATGGCGTGGAAATAATCGCTACTGGCAGCGAGCACAATGCGATGTGCTGAGAAAATTTCTTCGCCCACTTTTAAATAAACATCAATGAATTCACTTTGTTTTCGAAACTGGGCACACTTTGACAAGAGAATCTCAGAATGGGCCCTCATACTGAATCATCGGAGAAACTGGTTGCATTGCGTGATCGCGTGATCCTATATGCCATAAATCAAGATACTGATCACGTGAGCTATAAAGCATTACGTCATGTGCTACAAGTTTTCTACCTTCCCATTCCCCATTCTCTTAAATAAAAATACAAAGTCGATGAAACCTGCTAGCGCCCCTTATATTGCCTTACATTGCCTTTTTGAGTGAAGTGAATTCCTTCCAAATAGTGTATCGCAAATCTACAGGTTCTGTCTAAAGCAACGAGTGCGGTAACTATGATAAAAAAGCCAACAGTTATGCGTTTCATTTTCGTTGATCCTTGGAGCAAGTATTCTATTCAAACAAGCTGATCATCTAGAAAATCCTTGAAATGACTATAAGGAGGTTCTGAGGTTCAAAACACTAGAGACAGACTCGTACGACTTACATCCTGATTACTCTATCTGCTAAGCACTTTGTGTATGTATAAATGAAAACGAAAGGGGATAAGATTTGAGGAGTGCAGTGTGGTGAAACTGAGAAGAAAAATGCTGTAAATTAGTGAGAAAGGAGGAGAAGAATTGACATCGTATGGTTAGAACAGGACGGTTTCACAAATGGTTCAGTATGGTGTACAGGTGGAAGACAAATGGCCGAAGGAGTACACATTTAAAAAGTGTACAAATGAGCGTGAAGTTGATTTTCAACATATGGATAGAATCAGTAGTGAGTACACCGCTGGGAGCCGGGATGAAAGGAGTAATCTGTGAAAAGAAGGAGCTCAGATGTAGATAAATGTAAGCAGACGAACTTAAGGTTGATTATCAACACATGGCCAAAACAGAGGATTTACTAAAAGTAAGTAATTCTATGAAAAACTCAGTGTGGTGAAACTGTGAAGAAATTTGGCCTTAATTAGTGACAAATTGAGTAGACTGATAATTATGATCGTATAGTTAGAACAGGAAGGTTACAAATGGTTCAGTATGGTGCACGGGTCGGCGAAAAATGGCTGTATTGTGAGGAAGTAAGGAGTACAGATTAGCGTGAAGTTGGTTATCACCGTTGGGCCAGTTGGGTGGGATCACTAGTGAGTGCGCCGCCGGAATGAAGATGGAAGGGGTAACACTGTGTGAAATGAGTTGTGTCATGGTCCCGATATTAGTCGATACGAACCCGTATTTTTGAGAAAAACGGAAGTATGGAGAGGTATCGGGTTCCGGACACGCAGCGTGTACATTGAGTATCAGGACCCGTATTTTTCCTGAATCGAACTTTTTCCGCGGCATGGAATATCCGATATCCGGACACGTCATTGAAACGCGAAGTGTCAAGACCTGTAAACGTCCTTATTTTTCTAGATTTGCCGAGAATCATGGAGTGCCGTTGACGAACGCTACAATTTTTGCCTTTCATTTTCACTAAAATTCCACGCTACGGATTGTATTATCCTAATTTATACTCCAAACGTTCACGACACGTGAAGATTCGATTCCGTAGAATGCGATGAAATTCCACGATACGTGAAGTTTCGAGTGTTTTTATCACTTCCCCGAAATTCCATGGCACGTGAAATACCAGGGACTCAAACACCACTGGAATTCCACGGTTCATGAAATTACCGATGTTGAAATCGTGGCAAAACTCCCTGATACGCGAAAATTGCAACACGTTTATTGTACTAAATTCGACGATACTTTCAATTTCCATGCATGATATTGAAAAAACTGATACCGCCTTTTCACTCCATTGATACCTCACGATATGTTTCCTGGTCAGCATTGCACTTCATTGCATTTCAGGGACTTATTTGTGGGGTTGCAGAATTATACTGAAAATGATTTTTAACAGTTCCGACCATTCTACCATTTTTATCACCGCCCCAGTCTTATTCACTTTAACTAATTGCCCAACGCAAGAGGGAAAAACACAGGTTTTAAATCGCGTAACATCATTTATTTTAAAGTTCAAATACAGGAACAAAGTTTGATAATTCTGACTGGAAAACGTGGAAAGTTGTGTCAGTTGATAAACCTAACTCTAAAAAGTGTTTGAACATGTTGACAATTCATTCAAAGAAATATACAAGGTACAGTTGCAAGGTTGATTGGAATATTCAGAATGAGTGATTTCAAAACATTTCAATTTTTTCTAAAAAAATTTTTGCAAAAATTATGCAGAATTCAAAGTGAAGATATTAAATTTAATCAAACAATGGCAACAACTAGAGAGTAATCCATCCATTCTCCATCCTATGTCCATCATCACTGCCACTCCTTACAGTAAAAGAGAATGTGGGGAGGGAGGCTGCAGCGGAGGAGGATGTACTGGTGTGACAACTAGCTCCACTGCTAATCAACGACAATGGCCATGCATGTTAACTAAAGGGTGATTCGCTTGTAGGTGGATCTCCTTAAACTCTGGGGTTTGGAAGAATTAATCAAGGAGCTGGCATCTAGCTGCTGCAGGGTCTCCTTAACCATCTGTTTGCATCTTCATTTGTTTTACTAAAATCTGCAAAGCACAGTCATTGAAAAAAGTGAGCAATAACCACAAATTAGTGCCAAAATAGTGGTTAAGGTAGTTTATTTTTGTACATGTGTATGAACCTCTTTACTTCCATGCTTATAATAACATCATCAACCACAACAATATTAATGATAATAATAATGTGATGTTAAGGATAATAAGACTTTCAAATTTCTTTCGGATTTCTGTATATAAACAGAAATGAAACTGGATCACAATCGCCTTGACATCGTGTGTGTGGACCAACAGAACAAAAATTGCCTCATCACTGATATTGCATGCCCTTGTGACAAAAGGGTGGACATCGAACAAGAGATCAACAAGACTTAGTATCTTCATCTGGCATGAAGATACTACTTGTGGAAGAAGAAGTTGTAAAAGTTGCCACTTTTGTTTTGGAGCACTGGGCACTATTCTGAAGACCTGGAGGTTTAACTGAAAAAACGTAAATAATTCTGGGATTGAGTTGGCACTGCACTTTAAAGAACAGTCTTGCTGAGATCAGCAAGAATCCTCCAAAGTGTCCTTGAAGTTTAAGGTAGCTTTCTGGCATTGACATACCTGCTGTGAAGCATGCACAAAAATAAATTGGGAACTGAAGGAAAAAGACAGGCGATTGTCCTCAATAACATTATTATTATCAACAGCCGAATAAAATAAGGGTACTAATAGACCTTTTTACCAATACGTTGGCCATATTGAATTAATTCAATTTAAGGATTATTATAGGATGCCCAGGGGACATGAGCACATTTCGCTTGTATTTTGGAGCACTTTTCGGGACATTTTTTTCTTAAAGTTTTCTTAGAATAAGATTCTAATGGGAAAAAAGATCCTTGTGCCGTGTTTGGATGATCTGATTCTGAGGAGGAGGAGTACAGAATAAAGGAATGCAAGAAAATGAGCGTAAGGTTGATTATCGACACATAGGTCAAGATAGGGAGATTTCAACTGAAGCTAAGTAACTCTATGAAAACTACTGGTCAAAAGCCATGTGTTTCAAGTTATTTGTGGAATACTTGAAAACAGAATTATATTAGAACATTTATCTGGCGTTAGTGCACAATATTCTGTATACTTGCTACAAACTCTTTTAATATCAA